GACAATTCTGTATTTAAATATTTTTAAAAGAAGTTCTTTTTTATTATCTAAATATGTCACTGCCAAAAAAGGAAATGTCCACCCAAACCACACGGCTGCCGGTTTCCCAGACAGGGCAGGCTCTACGGGTCCCAGAGCGTGAGGCACCGCAGGGCCTGCAGTCCAGGCGGAAGCCGTGCGTGGGGGGGAGGGGGCGAAACCGCTGCCTCTAGCCGCGAGTCTTTGCAAGGGACACCAACAATAGGGATGGTGCAGACTGTCCGCATGTCCCCGCATCCCTGCCCGCCACCAAAAGTTACGGATGGGTCTAAATAGAAACCCCTTGTGTCCACGCAGGTCAGCAGCGCCCAGCAGGAACTTACGGAAGCGCCCCACACAGGCTCCAGCTGTTGCTGCCCTTCCCAGGAATGAGGGGAAAGGAAATGTACATGCAAATCCCTGTTTCGTCGGAAGCTGGGTTCTCACTGAAGATCGTCTGTGTCCCCATTTCCCAGTGACAAATTTGCCTGTGACCAGTGTCCCAGTGCAGAAGGTAGGGGCTGCAGCCATGTGACTGCAGCAGAGGAGGCCGTGATGGGGACAGGGAGTGACAGCAGGCCCGTCCCTGTCCCCGCCCGTGGGGCAGTGACCAGGATTGTCACCATCATAGGCACTCCGCTCTGCCATGTACACTGCAATTTCCAGGTTTTCATCCTTGGGCTTAAGTTAATGCTGCCCGAACCCCAACAGGACAAAGCACAGCATCGAGAAGCCCGTCTGGCCCCCTGCCTTTGGGCCGGACCCTGCCCAGGGTGTGGGCACTAGAAAGCAGGGCTGAGGAGGGCGGAGAGGCCCCGCCCAGCCAAGGCCCGCTTTGCCAGGGGCTGTCGGGCTAGAGACACCAGTTGTGACAGGGAAGTCGGGATGGGAAAGACGAACTGGCTTTGCGCATGAAGCAGCTGAACCAAATTTGGGACGGGCAGGGGCTGCTCAGAGGTGGCCCCAGGGCACGCGCGCTCTCTTCAGAATGAGGAGCTGGGTGGAGGACAGGGTGACGCAGAGAACAGCAGGGTGGGCCCCTCCCCTGCGCCCTGGCCCCTCCTCCCTCCTGTTCCGGACACCTCACCGGCCACTGAGGCCTCAGACCAGGGTGGGGGTCCTGCAGAGCAGGAGGTGTGTCCAAGGGGGTGGGAGCTGGCTGGGAGGGGGGGGTAACAGCCCATCCCTGAGTCCTCCACAGCCACGCTGCCCGTCTGCCTTAATTCACTGAAGTTCTGCGGAGGAGTCCGGCTCTGTCGCAGTATAAGTGGGGAGACTGAGGCTCTGAGGAGGCTTGTGACCTGCCCAGGGCCTCTCAGGACTCCTGACGAAAAGCAGGGACTGGCACCCTCACAGTCTGACCGTTAGACGTCTTCCTAAGTGACCTGCCAGCTGGTGCCGTCAGGCCTGCTCCCAGTCCTGGTGTGTGGCAGACCGTGCCCCCTGCCCCTCCCGCCGAGCTCCCAGGCTGCCCTCAGGGTTGGCGAGACCCAGGGCTTCCTCCTGACTCTGGGCATGAGCTGGCCTCTAGCTTAACCACCCCGGGTAGAACGGCACCTGGGGAGAGGTCAGCAGCCTTCCCTGGGGCTTCTTGGGTGCTACCGGCAGCTGCCATGGCCACAGGACACGTGCTGACACCCCGTCCCCTCTCCTGTCCCAGCCACCCTCCCCTTCAGCCCCCATCCAGACAGCCCCAGCCTTGGTCCCAGATAAATGCCACCTGATTGCCACAGATGACATGACACATCTTACCTCCAGGCCTGAATGTCCCTGGAACCCAGAGCTGTATGTCCAGCTGCTGACGCACTTGTCATCTCTGCGTGTCCAGCAGGCATCTCAGAGCTGCCTAACTCTGGGGAAACTGGGACTTGCACCCAGACCTGCTGCCCCCGTTCTCATGTCACAGGGGACCCTCTCTCCCACCCGTCTGCCCCAAGAGCGAGTCCTGGGCCCCACCTCTCCTATCCGCTGCCTTCTCTCCACCCCTCACCTCCCGCCTGATCCCATTCTTGCCCCACCCGCCCCGCCATGACATCTCCTAACAACACACTTCGAATCACAGAGCAATGCAGGTAAAACACCTCAGTGGCGCCCCATTAGTCCCTAGAGCAGCGGTTCTCAACCTTCCTAATGCCGCGACCCCTTAATACAGTTCCTCATGTTGTGGTGACCCCCAACCATCAAATTATTTTTGTTGCTACTCTGTAACTGTAGTTTTGCTACTGTTATGAATCATAATGTAAATATCTTTTTGTTTTCTAATGGTCTTAGGCGACCCCCTGTGAAAGGGTCGTTCGACCCCCAAAGGGGTCGCGACTCACAGGTTGAGAACCGCTGCCCTAGATGAATTTCAAGCCTGTGTCATGTGCTGGGAGGAGGGCTGGCCCAAGGGAGACCTCCGTACATCATTGTCACCATCACCTTCATCACCATCATTATCACCACTGCCACCACCATCATCATCATCTTATTTTGCCTCCAAAGCAAGGGAACGTCTTCATAGAAGTGGGACCCAGGAGGCAGGGACAGCCCCAGACAGTGCTCTGTCACTGTGAGTGAGACCTGGGCAAAAGGAAACTAACACCTCCCAGGCCATGGGGAAACAATGGTTATGAGGAGATGTTTATTAACACTTGGGGTTTTTCCATTTCCCTGATCTGAGGCAACTGGTTGAGTCACTCATCATTAGAAGTTGAGTTAGCCAGTCGGGGCAGCCTCCACCTCACTCAACCAAGTGTGAAGCCGTCCGCCCGGAACCCTGACCAGCACAATGGCCCCACACTCTCTGGGAGGCCCTGGTAGCTTCTGGATGGGTGGGGGTACAGCTCCCAGGAGAGGGGCTGCCCCAGGCAGGCATGGCTGCCCACGCAACCCAGGGAGCAGTTTTAGGGAGAGACTCGAGCTGTCACCTGCTGACACGGAGAGGATGTTAGGCGACGGTTAGGAGGATCCCACCTGGGCGGGAGGGGTCCCAGGTGCAGGGCAGCCTCCTAGCACTGGACTCCGCCAGGAGGAGGGAACTTCTCCATGAATAGCCGAGCACAGGACACCTGATGGGCAGCTGGGCAACAGGTGGGCAGCCTCTCTGTCCTCTCACCCTGAGGGATGCAGCTCCCAGGCATCAGCTTGAGTCTCTCCCTAAAACTGCTCCCTGGGTTGTGTGGGCAGCCCCTCTCCTGGGAGCTGAGCCCCCACCCATCCAGAAGCTACCAGAGAGCGTGGGGTGGGATGGGGCACCTTCTCTGGGGGCTCCAGTCCTGGGACTCAGGGGGGGGACGGAGCATCCTCCTGAGGATATAAAGAGGGGGCTAAGTGGAGCCTGGTTGGAGCTGGGGAGACGCAGGAACATGTTGGAGGCTGTGGTCAAAGGAGATGGGGGGGCCTGAACTAGGGTGGGGAGCAGAGGGAGGGGAGGGAACGGGATCACAGCTGGCAGAGCCTCAGTGACAGGTGGATGGTGACACCACTGAGCAAGGCTGGGGGGTAAGGGAGGAAGGGAGAGGGAGGGAGAGAGGGGCTGCAGGATGCAGGGGGGATGCCTGGAAGGAGGGAGCCCAGCCCTTTCCCGGGGGGGAGGGGGTTGACTGAAGGCCATGCTGGGAGACCGCCAGGGCCTGAGGCTGGGCCTGGCTCAGGACGGTGATGTACGTGGGAGGTGATTGTAGGGCTAACTGCTGGGTGCAAGAGGCCCCCCAGGAAGCTGGCGCCTGTGCAGAAATAGCCCCTGCCTCGGGACGGGTGCCCATCTCAGAGCCACCATGTCCTGGGCCCAGCCTGGATGTCCTGCTGGGCTCGGCAGCTCGCAGAGAAGTTCCCTCCTCCTGGCTGCTTCCAGTGTGCTAGGCTGGGGCACTTGACTTCTGGGGGTGCCTGGGCCCCCTCTGAGGACCCAGCCCTGGACCCCAATGGATTGCTTAAGACAAAGGAATACGTGCCAGGGGCATGGATGGGTGAGCAGGCAGGGTGCAGCTGAAAGCCCGGCTGAGGCCCACAGGAGGGGTGGCGGGGCCTGCAGACATGGGCACCCTCGGGCCCACAAAGCCACGAGCCACCCCACTTCCTGCAACAGCACCAGCCATCTGGGCTCCGGAAATTGCACCAGCTCTCCAAGTCCCCTCTGGGGCTCCATGTTCCTGGGGTTCGGAGAACATTCAGGCCTCCCGCTGACCCAGAAAGTGGCATTTGTTCCCTGGGGTGGAAATGAAAACTTCTGCTAATTGGGAGAGTGCCCAGAAGCCTTGCCAGGCCCGGGTCACTGGCTACATGATCAGAGACTTTGAAAAGGTTTCCTCACCCTTGAGTGAGCTGAGTGTTGTCACCTACCTTCTCTGAGAACTCACCTGGGCCTGCCCAGCCCACTGGACCAGAATATCCAGATCAGAGCAAGTTGGCACAAGCTGGACAGGGTCCTGGTGGCCATCAGGGCTCCCAGCCTTGCAGACAGCAGACACTTCTCAGGAAGGAATTGAGGGGACCACAGGGCACCCCTCTTTTATGCCATGGACTCTCTTGCCTGACTTCTCCCAGCAGCCCTTCCAGTGGCCTTGGCCAGGCAGCTCCCTACTCATAGCCAGGGAGCTTGGAGAGGGCCAGGCTGGTCACTCTGCCCCTGAGCGTAGCTCTTTGGGGACACATACCCCCTTAGGCAAAGTCCCAAAGTCTCAGCTGACCTCCCTCGGGGTCTTCTCCCTACCTGCAGTGTCTGCTGTCCCCACGCACACCCGATGAGCTCCTTGGTCCTCCAGACTCAGCGGTCCCTCTGAGGAGACAGGACCCCATTGTGTGCTTACAGCCCCTCTGCCCTAGTGGACAGCGCCCACCTGACTCTTACAACAGCTGAGTGGTGGTCAGCTGCCCGGTTCTCCTTTCTAGCTGCCCCAGGACCACTTCACACTTCAAGACCACAGACACACAGGACTTATCCAGACCCTGGGGCAGTGCCCCACCCCCCGCCACCCCGATGTGGCCTCCCCCACCCCGACTCCCCAGCACTTACTGAGAACCACTGGAGGGATGCCGGCCACTGCCTTATGGACGCTCTGTCTCTGAGTTAGAAGCTCCCGGAAGTCGGTTTCTCGGTTGGGGATTCGCCTCTCATTTTCCAGGACGGCAGTTTGCCCAGGGGAGGGGGTGCAGCTCGTCGGTGACCAGGTGGAGCAGGGTTGTCCAGGACGCCTGCCGAGTCTGCCCCTCAAAGTTGAAAAGGTCATGGGTGGAGAGGAAGGTAGACCGAGGACTCAGGCCACCACCCGACCTGGCTCAGCCAGACCAGCGCCCTGGTGACCCAGTGAACAGGGAGGGGCCATCCCAGGTAGCACTTCTGGGACCGTGACAAGGCCACTTTGAGCAGAGTGGACACTGGGGACTGACCCCAGGCTGTGGATGGCCAGGACGTTTCCCAGGGCTGGGGAAACTGAGGCAGCCCTTGCAATCATGTCTCGTGAGCATGCTTCCCGTCCTTCCCACTCCTCATGCCTCACCCAGGGCCTAGGGTGTTGGACGCTGGGTGACCAGGTTGCTTGAAGGTTCTCCAGAAAACATGCAGCCTGGCAGGGGCCAGGGACTGGCCTGCACCTACAAACCAGTGAAGAGCTACAAGGGGCCCAGATACTCCACTTCCAGGAGCGGAGGAGAAGGGAGGAGAGGGGAGGCATGGTCCTGGAGGACTTCCTGGAGGAGGCAGGATTGAGATGTGCATAGTTGGCGAAGGAAGACATTTTAAGAATGTTGCAAGTGCAAAGGCACAGGGGTGGGGGAACAACTTATGGGGTGTTTGTGGTGCAAGGAGCACCCTGGCTGGAGTGGCAGGGCAGGCCTAGGCAGGGGACAGAGAGCCTGGGGAGGGGGCAGAGGTTAGGCTCCAGCCCCAGGCCAGTGGGAGACACAGGAAAAGCACACGGAACAAGGGAGGGTCGGGGACCTGGAGGTCAAGTGCAGGTCAGACCACGCGCTCCCCTGGAGAAACAGAGGCCATGCCTTCCCCCGGGGCCTGCATCTTCCCTTCCAGGGGCCTGTGCTTGTTGGTGTCGGCTGCCATGAGTAGCAGCTGGGGCAGCTGGCTCCCAGGAGGCGGCAGTTTCAGGGCGACGGTGCCAAGGGAAAGGCCCTGCCCACTCAGCTCATTGAAGTTCCCACCAAAGGAAGACACGAAGAAACGCTTAAAATAACTGCTGGTAACTTGAATGTGGTTAACGTTCTTAACACAAAACACCCTCAATGCAACATACCTTGCTCGTCACAAGGCAGGCAATTACAGGATTTACAGATTCCATGATGCACTGCAGGTGGGTGGCGGGCGTGGGAGCCGGGAGGAAGGCTTGACGGGGCCTGTCCCCCGGCCTTGCCAGCGGGTCCTGCCGCCGGCCCGTGCCTCGCTGTGTTTGAAGCTACTGTAAGGACTCACCTAGCGGGAGGTCCTCCTGGAATGTGAGGGCATGCCAAGTGGACCTCCTGATCCCAAGTCTGCCCCAGACCGGCAGGGCGGGCGCTGGGCAGGCCCGGGCAGCCTGGATGCCCTCCGGCTGGAAGAGACATTTGCCTCTTTGCAGATATGATGCAGAAGGACCACACGAGAAGGCCCACAGTCACGTTCAAATGCTGCTCACAGGGCCGCGCTGGGTCTGGACAGGGTGGGCTCTGCGGGCGCCGGGCCAGGCTCGCGTCTTCCCATAGCTCCTCAGTGCCTGTGCCACGGGGCCACTGCAAGGAAGGGCTTTTCCGCACTCTGCCAGGTCTACCTTTCCTGGAACTTAGGGCGCCCCAGGTGTCCTCAGATGGTGTCCGCAGAGCTCAGAGCTGTCTGGCCAGGCAGGGAAGTCCAGACTCCATTTTTTGTCTACCCCAAACTGTCTAACCCCAGGTTCTCCAAGCAGTTCGTTGGTGGCCTCTAAGGGGAACACGTGCCGCCTCTGCCTGTCCAGATGTTGAAGCCGGAGCCATCCCCGGCAGAATAAGCCCCAACGCTTGTGAATGAGGCTATTATCCCAGGCCCAGCGTTCCACCCCTGCCACGGAGCAGGGCCGCCGGCACTGGCATGTCGAATGAGTGTTACCCCGTGTGAATTAACTTGGCATCTGTAATCCCAGGATAGTCTCCCCGGCCCACCAGCGTGTGGAAGAATGCGGGGGTGCGTGCAGTGGAGTCAGGTTCCCCGGTAACCACTTCTCAAGGCAGCAGGCACTCTGAAAAAGACAAAGAAGGAATTGAAACCTCATCTCCTGAGAGCCACCTTGCTGTGGGAGACAAAGCGAGGAACAGCAGGGATGTTTGTGGCCCGGAGTCATCTCCTCACCATTAGCAGGTCACTGTCACCCAGACCAGTCAGCAGGCCTCTTTGTACAGAGCTGGCCGGGGTCCCAGCCCAGCGAGGCCGCCGTCTCAGTTCCTGTCACAGGCTAGCAGATCAGTGTGGAATGGACCATGATGGCTGCTGAGGACAATGACGGCTCATACGCCTTATGCATGTGTGTGCCCAGCATGGAGCTATGTGCTGTGAGAAGGGGAAACTGAGGCTCAGGGAAGCTAATGAAGTGCCCCAGGCAGCAGTCAGCAAGTGGCCATGGAGAGCTCCAGAGCGCTCCAGCCACATCCTGCTCTAAAGGTAGAATTGTGACTTTGAGGACAAACATGTTTTCTACTATCTGTCGACTTGTTACCAAAGACCTTTCCAGTGGCCCATTCCCTCCCCTCACCTGACAACCTTCATCCCCCACAAAGCTCCGCCTTCCTGGAAGTCTGGACTCCCAGTTATCTCTTCCTGGGACCACTCTGACTTCACGCTTCTCTTCTTTGTGAAGCCATGTACCTGCTGTCAGCCTGCACTTGCACTGCAATAATAATAATAATAATAATAATAATAATAATAATAATTCCTTGCCTGAACATAGCATCTAATAGATCATCACAACAGCTCACACACCTACGCTCTAACTGAGGATTTGAAGCTGTGTTTCGCTGTGAGCCCAATCCTCGAATCCTTCAGAAAAACCGTGTTTCTCATGCAAAACAGCAAGAGCATAACTTTAAGTTTGTTTTTTGTTTTTTGGTGTTTTTTTTTTTAATTTCTTCAGAAACTCCACAGTGGTCGCAGCCTCAACTTTGCTCATCATTTCCGAGTCTTGGTATCAATCGTCATTAGGTTGGAATAGCCATCATGGGGAGTCGAAAAAGGAAAAACGTTGAAGGTTCCCAACGATTCAACTAATATGTATGCAAACCTCACCAAAATAGAAATGACCACAGAACACCGCATCAACACAGGGTTTTAAATGTTCTTCAAATACAGCATTGCCAGGACATTTTTGGATACCACGTCTGGTGTCCTGTTTTCCAGACCAGACCCCCAGACGGGCGCACGTCTGTCTTGGCTACTGACCTGTCCCAGGAACAGGAAAAAGTTTCCTTCTCTCTCTCCACTTCTCTTCTGACCTTAGGAGGACACATACTTTCCCCAAGGTGAGTTGTCCATGAAGCCAGCCGGAGTCTGCAGAGACAAAGGTGTGTCAGTACAGCTTGCACACTTCAGTTTTTTGGGGTGCCTCCCAAGATGATGTCAGAGAACAGTGATGGGCCATGAAATGAAAGCACCTGTTCTGAGCCTCCCCAGATGCCCTGATGAGCAGCAGCGTGTCCCCCATAGGGCCACAGGGGAGCCGCTGGGACTTGGGTTCTTTCTTTTCTTTCTAATTGTTTCCTCTCCAGACAGAACTTATTGAGTTCAGAATGTTCCAGGGCACTTTATCAGGCTGCCTGGTTCTCAAAGGCTGCTGCAGCCGTGGGTGACCTCTTAGGTCTCCTCCCAGCCCCTCCTAATTCTGTCAGCACACGAGGAAGAGTCAGCCGTGGAGGGCAGACCCAGCCTGACACACAGAGTGTCAGTGCCTGGGGTATGGGCCAGATCTTTCACCCCCCTGAGTACCCCAAGTCTCAACCCTGCCCCTGTGGGCAGGTTGCACAGGGTGGGGTCTCTGGGCACAGGTGCTCCCAGGGCTAGGATGTTTGCTCCCGATCTACCTTTCAAATAGTGCCTGTGGATGAACCTTGCCAGAGGATCCCTGGTGGGGAGACCCTTGAATGTGAAGATGGGTTTGGTGGGGCCGACAGGGAAGGGCCATGAGCCCAGGCTCCGGGGGTGGCCCCAGGCCAGTGTTCCCCAGAGGTGGAGGGCCCCTGTGACATGTAGGCACTGGAGGCAGTGTCCGAACAAGGCTGCAAACAGCGATGCATCACAGAGCAAGAGCTGCTGCTTCCTCCCTTCTCATCCCACTGTGCTGGCCACATCCAGGAGGGCAGGTCCATTCCCCACAGCCCACCCTCACACATGGCTGGCACCAGCCACTGTCCTTTCCCAAACAGCGGGTCTGAGGCTCAGCACTCTCAGCAGGCAGCAGTCCTGGCTAGAATTGACCACTTTCTATTTCCTTCTGTCTATTTTTATGATAACCTCTCTAAGGTCATGACACAGATTTACCTTTTTAAAAAAACGAGCTTATCCTTTTAGTAAAATACATGAATTGTTTAAAAGAAAAACATTGCGCAAACAACAGTTTCAAGGAATCAAATCTAAAATGAAGTTTGGGAACACTGAGTCCAATCCTGCTCTAACATTTGAAATGCTTTCAGAGCATCCCCATCAGAAGATTGGCTGGCTCCGTTTACACGCCTCCCATGATGGGGAGCTCACTACCTATGAAAGGCATCTCCAGTCAGCTGTGCTGGGAAATGCTGCTCCCAGCAGGGTCCACACCTGAGGCCAGGTCTGCAGAGCATCTCAGGTCCCTTTCCTCATGTGGAGGGTTGGGAAGATGCGGGGGGGGGGGAACCTTTGCTGCATGTGCTCCTGTCCACTCCCAGCAGCCTCCTCTTCCAGGTTCCCCCAGCAGGTCCTCATCCCCTCAGAGGCACCTTCTCCACCCAAAGTTAACAGTTGGTGTATTTTTCTCTTAAAGGGCAGTTCCGGGAATGGAGGCCAGTATTCTAGGAGCAGCCAGACCCCACCCCAGCTGCCAGGAGTAGCGGCTTACATAGAGACAGCCTGGAGCCCCAAGGACCTCACCAGGGATCCCTGAAAACAGAGTGAACGGGCATAAGCCCCACCCTATGAAGGAAGAACATTTCGTAAATACCGCGGAATGTGGACATTTTCCCATAAGGCCCAGCACCCCCTCCTCTCCCCTGGCCCCACAAGGCAGGGGCCAGTCCCCTATGCCTCATCTGTGGTTCCACAGGCCTGAGCTCTGTAGGTGCTCCCTCACCAGCCGAAGGTAACGCTGTGATCATTTCCTCCTTACGCAACTTAGCTCAGGATTCAAGTGCACGCGCGCACACAAGCACACACACGGTTGACTTTTACAGACTTCTTTTAAACTCATTTTACGGAAACCAAAAAGGAAAAAATTGTGGAATGTTATTGTGATCAGCTGTAAATGTTAACTTGGCAGCCCCTGTGAGCTCCTATGTGGGCCTGACCTATCCCATTTCATTCCATTTTTCAGTGGCCCTTCCAGGAAGCACTGTCAGTAACGTCATTTCACAGATGATGAAACTGAGGCTCAGAGAGGTGCAGTGTGTTCAAGGTCACACCGCAGGGATATTGGTAGGATTTCAAACAGGACCTCCCGTTGATGGCCATGTGTCTACTACTCCCTCTGGTCTGACATCAGTGCTGACGTCAAGAAGAGGATCATTTTACCCAAAGGGCAACAGGAAGGGGAGCACTGGGTTCCCCAGGTGGCCCGCCCCGCCCCCCACTCCCACTGTCTCCAGGAGGTAAGCCTGAGGAGGCGCGCACCGGTGGGCACCCCAGGCTGGCCCTGGGAGCCCGACAGGCCGGCGGGGACGGCCGCTCCCGCTCCCCGCTCGCACGCGGCGCGCACGCGGGACCCCTGCGCCTCCGCGGCGGCGCCCATCCGGCCCCGTCCGCCTGTCGGAAGGGTTCGGGCGGGGAACCTTCACGCCCTCCCACGGCCTCTCCGCCGCCTCGGTCGCACCAGCCCGGCTTCAACGTGCGAGTCGGTTCGACATCGAGTCGCCGCGCGGCCCGGGGAGCGGCCTTCCCCTCCCGGCATCGGTTCCCCAGCTGCCGCCCGGGTTCCCGCATCTGATCGGTCGGCGGCAGACGCGAGGGCGCCCGCGCTCGGCTCCCAGGGCGCTGGCCTGCCGGTCGGTGCCACCTGGGAGCAGAGAGGTGTCGCCGCCCCGGCCCGCCCCGCCCCC